ACAGATGGCTCCCAGCCTGGAGGTTGCAGCCATCCCCTCCCCTCCTGTGACGCCGTCCTGCCTGTCAGCCGGCAGAACATGGGGCTGTGTGGTCCCTTTGCCCTCACGGGCAAGCTTCCCTGATTTGGGTTCTACTAGATGGTTAGAATTCCCTTAACTGTGCATAGTTCAGTTCTTGTTTTGTATACAAACAAGCCCAGAGGCTCTGGCTCCTCTGCTGCCGCATCTCTGCCGTACCAGTGTTGCTAAAATTTCCAGCGCCCTTTGCTTCCCTCTCCTGTGCCTTTTCTTCTGGCTGGCTCATCCAGACAGTTGTGAGCATCTGGTGCTTGCCCTTAGTTCACAGGAAAGCCCTTTGGTGGTGTAATTGGGTAATATCTTTACCCAGGTCACAACCGTGTGCTCCCTGAGGCTGATGCTAAGGGAAGGACACATGGCAGATACCGCTTTGCCCTGATACAGTTATGTGTCTCGGGCTGTTCAAGATGAAGACAGCAAGATAACGCATGCTTGCCTGATAACTTTTCATCCTTTCCTCAGCCTGTACAGTAATATTTCTTGATGGTGGGCAGCAACATTTGCCTTGTTTAATCATTTTAAAAGCTGAGGGCACTGATGAAGGGGAAAGCTCTTTCTAAAGGCTCTGGAGCTTCATGAACTATATTGTGGCTCATTGCAATGGTTAGTCTTCATCTGTGCACTTTGCAGACCATGATCTTGTTTAAAACACCTCTCAACCTTGTCATTCTTCATACTTTTAACCCTCAATGTCCGGTGTGCACTCTCGTTTTACACTATTTTTGGGACCTTTGTTCTGCCAGCTTTCAGTTCCTCCTTTGTAAGAGGCGACTACGAAGATGCTGCTCGTAGTTGTGGATTCTTCCACTTCTGTCGGAGGCGAGGGCCTGGGGCAGGGACTGTTCTCTGCATGTGCCCCACTGTTTAAAGCTTGAGGGACCCAGCCTTGCTTACCTGCTTCTCATTTCTGGTGTTTCAGAACAGACACCTCCAGGTGACACAGGTTTTACCTTCCCCAGTGCCGCTCTTAGCTTCATCTGAATAAGTACTTTTGTCCACGTTTTTAGTTCCAGATTTCAGATGGGCTTTTGTCTCTTTAAAGTTACTTTTAGGCAGCATAGAAAACCAGGTAAAACACGTATCAAGAGAAACGTCAGGTGTTGGTGACTCTAAATTGATTTGGAAGCTCCTCTCTGCTAATCAATGCATGGAGCCTGTGTGGAGCGTGGAGACAAAAGGCGAGGGCTGTGGCAGGACCCCGCAGTCCTCGCTCTCGCGCTGTGCTGGATTTCAAAGCGGCTCTTCAGGCCTCCAGCACTTTTTTCATGACGTGCTGCGTGCACATCTGTTCCACACTGATGCCTAATGCGTGGGACAAATCGGTGGCTGCTTCCAGTGGTGCTGCCTCAGCTCCTGTTTTGGGGAGATGAGGTCTGATCTGCTTCCTTCCGTGAGAGGGACTATGCAGGTGCCACAAGAAGACAAAAGAAAGGAATTATCACTAGCTTTTCTCTTTGAGACTTGGAGGAGGAATTTAAGGATTATGGGTGATTTTCTTTCAATGCCCTTGAAATCTTCCAGTGGGGAAGACAAGCTCATGGCTTCAGTTGACAGGGCTAGTTCTGTAAGGAGGAGTAAGACAGCACAGGCAGTGTTTTCAAAGAACGGAACTCACGTCTTTTTTCAGTCCCACAAACGAAGACATAGTGAACAGGTATCTGCTGTGCTCATTACTAGATTGAGTAACTGACTGCCAAAAGTACCAAGTACTTTACTTACAGACATAGCCTCCTCTGGGCTGACCTGGGTGATCTAGAGGGATCTGATGTCCGTCCAGACCTGTGCCCAGCTGCTGCAGGCACAGAAGTCCCAAGCACTAAGGAGGCACAGATTAGTCTGACTCCTAAAACAAGTATTATCCAGATCTGGAATAGAGATGTGTTTCAGCCCTGACAAAGCTTGGATATGCTTTCTAAAATCTGCATCACTGTCAACTATAATTAATCTGAATGTGTTCCTTTCCACGTAAATATTCAGTCCTCTTTTACCTCTCAAACTTCTTGGCCTCCACAGCTTTCACTGGCTTAACCTCTGCTGCTGTAGTTTGAATGAGAATGACATTTCCTCTGAACAATTTTAATTTCCTAGCTTTTCATGTCATTGAATATCCCTATGCTAATAGCTGTAGTAACATATTTTGTTGGTAATCAAGCACAACAGTTGGAAAAATATTTGTAATATACAGTT